TTTTTTTTTTTTTTTTTTTTTTTTTCATTTCATAGAAAACGTTTTGCTTAATAAGTGATAATAACGATCGATTGTTATTAAGCGATACGTTGTAAGTAAATTGTACAGAAAAATTTTCTTTGTAATAGAATGATTTTCATTTTAGAGTGAGATAATTCTTTGGAATGAAAGACCCTTGTATGACCTCGATATAAGCAAAGCTAAGAATATAATATACGAATTGCTAGTTTCATTTCATTTTTTCATTTTTATGCGAGACTTTCTTCATTTAAAATATGTAGTATTTTTTTATTTAATCATACATACACATTTTTTTGCAATGATTGGCTACAGCAGTCTATGCTGTTATGTTAATAAAACTATAATATTTATTATAACTATAATATTTCTTTGTTTTAATAGTTTTAACCATGGAGAAATCTGATCCACAAATTAATATATTTCAAATTTTAATATTCTTAAAATCAGAGATCCTATATATATATATGTATATATGTGCATATATATGTATATGGAAAAATTAATCATTTGGCATGGAATAAAGTTTTATTATATTAGATTCTTAGAACTTATTTATTTGTAATTTTATATTTTATAATTGTTTTTCTTTTTCTTCAGCTTAGAGGATTATATAGTGTGTGGGGAGTTAATTATGATGCAGTCATTGAATGCATGCCACCAATCATATCAATTTTTCAAAGTGCGTCGATGTACTTCAACGGAATTTTTAATACAACAAAGGTATAAATATTTATTCTGTTTTATTCAATTTTTTGATAATTTCCGAAAATTTCAAAATTCGCAAATCAAAAAATCGAATTTACAAAAAGAATAATTTCAGAATAAAGTTTTAGAAAAAATTTTTCTCATTTTTATAAAACTATGTTTTTTTATTATAGATTAAAAATATATTATTATTCATTAAAAATGACCATAAATATTATATAAATCGTTCAGAAAATATAATTCTTCAAAAATATGATATGCAAGGGAAAAAAATTACATTTTATTATATTTGTAAGTGTATCAAGTTTCAAAATGAAAAATTTTCATTTCATAAATTTTTAAGACTGAGGAATTTTTCATCTCTATTTTAGTATACGTTTACACAACATTGTTAGTTTACTTATTATTACCAACAATACCACTGATAATTGATTTCATTACATCCTCCAATCATTCTCAAAAAAGAAATTTTCTATTTGAACTTGATTATGGTATGGACAAACAACAATATTTTTATTATATATCTATACATTCATACATTGGAACAGCTATAGTCGCGAATTTAATTGCTTCTTGTGATACTATGTATATGCTATATGCTCAACATGCCTATGCTTTATTTGCAATTGTAAGGTAAAGCTTATTTTTTTATTAACCCAAAATTTTTGTGACATTTTATTTCAAAAAAACTTTTTTCTAGTTATGAATTGAAAACTATACATATTTTGAATACAAATAATTTGATAAATATCACAGAAAATCATCATTTACCCGAAAAATATAAAAATATTAAATTATTACCAAGAAATGAGAAGAAAGTTTACAGAAAATTGTTTATTTGCATAAAAAATCATCAAAATGCAATAAAGTCAGTACTTGTTCTATCATATTTTTTCTTTTTGATAAAAAGCATTAATATATTCCATTTTTCATAGATATTCAAATCTTCTTGAATCACTATTTACTAAATCCATACTTGTTCAGTTATTCTTTAATGTTCTTTGTCTTAGCATTACAGGAGTTGAAGTAAGTATTCATATAATTAATTAAACAGCTTATTTTTGACTTAAATATATAAATACTTTTTTACTTTTAGACTGTAATAAAATTAGGTAATTTAAGCGAAATGATGAGATTTGGATCGTTTACGTTTGCACAAGCTGTTCACATATTTTTTCTTTGTCTCCCTGGGCAAAGATTATTGAATCATAGCGAAGAAGTGCATATCTCAGTGTAAAAATATTTTATATTTCATTAGTTTTTTATTTTTTTATTTTTGGATTTTAATTAATTATAGATTAATTAATTTAGGTGCAAAGTAACCTGGTATATTTTTTCTAAAAAATATCAAAATTTATACAAATTTTTACTTGCAAGATCTTTAATATTTAGTAAATTGACAGCTTTTAAAATGACAACCTTATCTATGCAAACATTTTTAGCAGTAAGAATCTCTTATTGTAATTTATCTGAAATAATGATAAGAATTAGTAGAAAATATTTTATTATTACTTAAATTTATTATTATTATTTTAGATTATTCAAACTGCAATGAGTTATTTTACTGTGTTGTTATCAACTACATGAATTTGAATGAATCATTAATATGTATCTTAGTTATATATTCAATAGAAACTATTAATACAATTTTGTTCTTTAAACTTTTATTTACATTACATACTGTTATGTATGATATTCATGTTTGTAACATTTTGTTGAAAAAAAATATACTTAAATGTGTATAAATATATTTACATCAACGCGTACTAAATCGTAATACAAAATTTTTAACGTAATGTTATGTTATATTATATCTCAAAATACATTCCAATATAAATTTTTCTTTTTTTTTTAATTGTAATTTGCAAGTTATGAAAAGTCATGAAAATCTATATAACAATGATCATGTAAATTATTAAAAACTAAAAAATCAGATTCAAAAATTTAATTAATTAAAGTAAATTTTATGTAATAAAATGATTACCATAGAAGATGATGTTCATGCTCGTAAAGAAACGAATTGGTGGAAAACATCTAAGATATGAGGATCCAGATCTGGTGTAAAAAGTAAAGTCTCTAATGTTGATGAATATTTTTGAACTTGTTCATGATGCTAAATAAAAAAAGATAAACAATAGTTAACATTAAGTGCAAAAAAATATATCTTATTTATATCATTAGAGAACTTACAGTTAAAAATACTTGCTGTAATCTACCTATGGTCCATTTGTACCAATGAGTATTGTAGTCTATTCCATCAGTATCACATCGTCCAAGGTGTTCCGAAAGAATCATTATAAAACGCTAAACAAATAATTAATTAATTTAATATTTTTATCATTATTACATAATAACAATAGTAATATAATTATTTATACCTGAAAAATGATAAGAAACAAATTTTTCTGATCTGCTTGCGCTGTTTCCAACTTTTCTTCCATTCTTTCCACTACATCTTCTGATGGTTTTTCTCTACTTCTATCTTTGTTATTATCTTCATCTTCTGATGATGAACCTGATCTACTTTCTGCTCTTCTCAATTTTTCACGAGCTTCCGCTAATTCTGTGCTTAATTTTGTTACATGTTTGTTCTTTTTTCGAATTGTTAAGTGAAGAATTTCCCAAATATATAATCTTGAAAAAAAGAATTACAAATTTATTAAATATATATATATATAAATATTTGCTAAATCAGTATTGTAATAAAACCATATATACTTGGTAAATTCTGACACCATCTCTTTAGAAAATATCCAATTGGCAATGGCACTGCATTCGATTATTCCAGTTTTCAAAAATTTATCAGTTAAAACCACCATCATTTGATAATGATTCTTCCATAATGCATACATATTTCTCAAAATACATATTTGAGCTTCTTCAGTTTCTGCAAGAACCTAAATATACAAATTTATTACATACAGTAATTAATTCAGTTAGATTATAAATAATTTTTATAATCTAAAATTTAAAATTTAAAATCTTACTTGAAAAACATAATGAAATTTTCCTATTGCAGCGAAACTATGGCTAAAACTTTTCGAACCTAAATTTAATAATGTCTGTACAAAAACATCAATCTTTAAAGGATTGAAATTATTTGTTTCTTCATTTTCTCTAGGACCTGGTAATGTATTTAACACATTAAGTACTTCTTCCGGTGTACATTTACGTCTAATCGAAACAACTAATTCATGAGCTGCTGCTGTACCTGGAAGTGAACCTAAAAAAAATTTTTTTTTAAATAAATTTTATTTAAAATTTTTGATTAATATCAAAAAAAAAAAAAAAAAAATATTGAACTTACTGGCACCTTCAGAAGTATATTTATAAATAGGTTCTGGAGGTGCAGGAATTAGCTCAGCATATGATTCAGGCATCATATCCCGTATTCTTTGGTAATATGATAATCTAGGCATAAATTATAAATTATAAATTATAATTATCATTAAACTGTTATAAATCTAATTATCATTACAAATAATTAAATATATGTACCGTAAAGCTTTTAATAATACTTCTCGAATAAATTTTGGTCGTGGATGCTCTGGATCACGTTGTAAACAAGAATCCCAGTCTTCCCAAGACCAACGAAATTGAAAATTGCTTAGATGATATGCGAACCACCATACAAAACGATCGAAAGCAGTTGCAGCCATACTATCTATACGACGGAATAAAATTTCCGTCGCTTGAGCCAAAACCTATATTAATATAGGTAAATATACTAATAAATATTTTTATTTTTATCTATATTATAATTTTGAATTATATTCTTACCTGTGGCATTGTTGATGGTTGTAATTTACAAAGTTCAATCAAAATTGATCCATAGCATATTTCTAAATGCTTTGGTGCTGGTAATCTAAATAGTTCACCAAATATTACTTCAACAATACAATAATCTAATGGTATTTTTGCTTTATATGGAAAATTCAATAATTGAGCTGCACTGTAAATTATTATATATGAATTTTTAATTATACAATTGAAATACTACAATACATAATACAATAAATAAAAAAATAAAATATATACCAATCCTTTCTTTCAAAAAAATAGTTATTGATAATTTGTCTTAAATGTTCTTCTATAAGAAAACGTTCTATAGCATGACTTCCAGGTAATAATGGTCCTTCAGCTGGACAATCTGTGTAATCAAACATGCGGAATACTACTGTAGGTAATGGATAAGAATAAGATTCATGATGTGGTGGTGGCATTATAGTAGGTAAATTATGCTGTAATGCTTCACATAAAATTGAATCAAATGCTAGATATGGTCTAGGAATATGTTTCTCTGCCCAATTGTCCTGTCTAAGTTTTCTCACTTGAGCCCATAAACAATCTAAATATTCTTCTTGAGGATGAGGTGTATCACTTGACCAAACTCTTAAGGCTGGTTGATGTTTTTTATTTCTTTTGTTTAAAAATATCTCTATTGTTACCATTAAATGATCTAACTCTTGTTCTTTTTTTTCATATAATTCTCTTCCTACCCAAGGTAATGTTGATAATACAGCATAGACATACCTAATAAATGATAATAATAAATGATAATAAAAAAATATTTTTTTTTATTTATTGAAATCATTCATAAAATCATATAAAATAGTTTTATTTACATACCAATCACGTCTTACTTGAGGAACACCATCTTCATTAGCAGCATCTAACATATTATCAAAGAGTTGCATTAAAGATCCACAAGATAAGACATGGCAGTTTACTAAATCAGCTAAAAATCTTAATGAATATCTAGCTACATCCCATTTACAAGCTTTCAATGCATCTTTAAAATTTTTCACCATATAATCAACAAATTCACCACCAAAATTAAAATTCTTTGCATTTAGTAATCCAACAAGTGTGGTATAAATTGTACATTTTTCTGGCATTCTAATTGCACATTCAGTTAGAATCCTAAGAATTTTGCTACGAAAGAGTCCAAGATCAGCTTCTAACACTGAAGCTAAACCTTCTAAGTTACTTTCTAAAGAAGATGTAGATTTTTCTCCTACTCTCAAAATAAGAGATTCAAGTCGGTCTTCAATTTCTTGATTCTCTGATACTCTCCTACGTTTTTTATATGCTCGTTCTAAAAAAAATTTGTATAGAAATGATATAATTTTTTATAATACAAAAAGAAAATTTTTTCAATGATTATAATTTTTAATTTTTGAATTAATATAAAAAAATGAAATTACCATATCCATCTTCCTCTTCATGAACTCTTCTGCGACTCATTTTTAAAAAATTTAATGTATCGTATTAATAAATCGCAACGTTTACAACCTAATATATTTTAACACAATTTGTCACGTCCACAAACGTATGACTCCACCAATAGTTTAGCCCGCCACCGATAGATGTCTTTAATTTTCTCACAAGTTTATATAAATTTTAGAAATTAAATTTTATCCCATGTTCACAATAAAAATATCAAAATTATATTTACATGTTTATCACTAGCCTTTTTATTAATTTTTTTGTCTTATATTTTCTACATTTTTTTATTTTTTTTTTCACAATAAATATTAATTCATTAAAAAAAAAAAAGAAATCATATCATCATTTATACTTCTATCATTGACAAATCTATTTAATGGTTTCGAAACGAAACGCCGCCTTTTTTTTGCGCTGTTCTATCTTTTTTCAATTACACCAAAGATTCAATTGTTTTTTTAAGTTAACACGATTACATTTCTATACATAAATTATCACAGTAAAATCATTTAATTGTAAAATGCATCAATAAGTAACTTAACCTTATAATTTTTTATAACTTATACATAATATAATTGTATATAATTAGCAATATATGAAGCAAAGCACTTATTTATCAGTAATATATAAAAGTAATTTTTAGCATTACTTAAAATATACACTGAACAAAAATAATATAGATTGTTACAATTTTTACATATTCGTAACGCGATGCTAAAAGCAAAATATCCACCTAGTGAACAAATTTGGAACTTCAAACTAGGAAATGCAGAAATTAACGTTATATATAAATCTACTATATCTCTGATTCGTGAGAAATAGCGGTGACTCGCAAATAAGTTTTACATTTATTCTAACCTAGATTATAAGTAGATCGAAGGTAGAATTGAATTTTGTATTTTGCATTCATTTTATGCAATAATTCAAAACAAAATGCCTGAAAGCGTGAAAGTAGAATCAAAGACGAATAAGGAAGTCAGAAGTGGAAAAGAAGAAGATAAAAATGAATTGGTAAGTTCTATTTTCAAAATTTTGAAAAATTATTTCAAAATATATAATTTTATGTATATAAATATATACATAAAAATATGAAAAATTGTATTTATTTGTGTTATAAATGTAAATAACATAAATAAAATATTAATAAATAAAAAATAATATTAAAAAAATTTATATAGACTTTAACATTATTTAATTTACGTATTTTTTTAGTCTGAAGAAGATAAACTCTTGCAAGAAGAGTTAACTAACCTCGTCGAACGCTTACAAGATCCCAATACAAGTTTACATTATTTAGCTTTAGAATCTTTACGTAATCATATTCGTGCATCCACCACATCAATGACCAGTGTTCCAAAACCTCTTAAATTTATGAGACCTCATTATGATACTATGAAATCCATCTATGAAAAGATAACAGATGGAAAGTCCAAGGAATTATGTTCTGATGTTATTTCTGTTCTTGCTATGACAATGGGTGAAGGTAGAGAATGTCTTAAATATAGACTTACTGGATCTGCTTTAGCTATTGGAGAATGGGGACATGAATATGTTAGACATTTATCAGGAGAGTTAGCTGGTGAATGGGATGAATTAACAGATGATGCAGAAGCTATTAGTAAGAAACTAATAGCTCTAGTACATGAAATTGTACCTTATAACATGGCACATAATGCAGAAACTGAAGCCTGTGATTTATTGATGGAAATTGAAAGATTAGATTTATTGGAACAATATGTAGATGAAAGTGCATATCAAAGAGTTTGTTTATATTTAACAAGTTGTGTACCATATGTGGCAGATCCAGAAAATAGTACTCTACTTCATGCTGCTGCAAAATTATACAGAAAATTTGGTCAATATCCTCAGGCTGTTAGATTGGCAATGCAATTGAATGATTTGCCACTTATTGAAGATATATTTACAAATTGTACTGATTTGTAAGTTAAATTATTGAAATTAATTTTATCTATCAAAATTTAAATTAATACATAATATCTTATTTTTTAGGTCAATACAGAAACAGTTAGCATTTATGCTAGGTAGACAGCAGATTTTTTTGGAACTTCCAGAATCTACTCCAGAATATGATGATTTGGTAGAAATCATGTCCAATTCATTATTAAATTATCATTTCCTCAATCTTGCTCGTGAATTGGATATAATGGAACCAAAAACACCAGAAGATGTATACAAATCACACTTAGAAAATTCTAGATCTCCATTTGGTGGTGGTCAAGTAGATTCAGCAAGACAAAATCTTGCTGCAAGTTTTGTCAATGGTTTTGTGAATGCAGCTTTTGGGCAAGACAAACTATTAGTTGAAGATGGAAACAAATGGTTGTATAAAAACAAAGAACATGGAATGCTCAGTGCAACAGCATCTCTTGGTCTCGTTTTATTATGGGACGTTGATGGGGGCTTAACACCGATAGACAAATATCTTTATTCTTCTGAAGATTATATTAAATCTGGCGCTTTATTAGCTTGTGGTCTTGTTAATTGTCGCGTGAGGATTGAATGTGATCCTGCATTAGCTCTTTTATCTGATTATGTGTTACACAGTAGTAACACAATGCGTATTGGTGCAATCGTTGGTCTTGGACTAGCATATGCAGGATCAAATCGAGAAGCTGTTTATGGTCTTTTAATTCCTGTACTTAGCGATCCTAAATCTAGTTGGGAAGTGATTGGTGTAGCAGGTCTTGCTTTAGGAATGGTTGCAGTAGGTTCTTGCAATGCTTATGTTACAACAACAATAATGCATGCTCTTATGGAGAAGTCGGAAGCAGATCTTAAAGATACCTACGCTCGATTTCTACCTTTAGGTCTCGGATTATGTTTCTTAGGCAAGCAAGAAGCTGCAGAAGCTATAATAGCAGCCTTAGAAATAGTACCTGAACCTTTCAAATCAATGTCCACGACTTTAGTAGAAGTATGTGCATATGCTGGTACTGGCAATGTCTTGAAAATTCAACATCTCTTGCACATTTGTTCTGAACATTACGAACCATCAAATGAAAAAGAAGACAAAAGCGATCGTAAGGATAAAGATAAGAAAGAAGAAAAAAAAGAAGATAAAACAAAGGATCTGAGTTCAAGACAGGCAATTGCTGTTCTTGGTATTGCTTTAATTGCAATGGGAGAAGAAATTGGTGCTGAAATGGCATACAGAACATTTGGTCATTTATTACGTTATTGTGAACCTGTTATTAGAAGATCTGTTCCTCTTGCACTTGGACTTATATCAGTTTCTAATCCGAAATTGAATATACTTGATACTTTATCCAAATTTTCTCATGATAGTGATCCAGAAGTAGCACATAATGCTATCTTTGCAATGGGTTTAGTTGGAGCTGGAACAAATAATGCAAGATTAGCAGCAATGTTAAGACAACTTGCTCAGTTTCACGCAAAAGATCCAAATAATTTGTTCATGGTTCGTATTGCACAAGGTTTGACACATCTTGGTAAAGGAACTTTGACTTTGTCTCCATATCATAGTGATAGACAAGTATTAAGTCCTGTAGCTCTTGCTGGACTTTTAGCTACATTAATTGGTTTTCTCGATGTAAAAAACAGTAAGTATGAATTTTCTTTAAATATTATGATTATTTAAGATATGATTTTTTAAGATATATTAAATAAATATGATTTTTGTTTTCAGTTATTTTAGGTCGATCTCATTATTTGTTATACACATTAGCAGTTGCAATGCAACCGAGAATGTTAGTAACATTTGATGAAAAGTTAAATCCTCTAGCTGTACCAGTAAGAGTCGGTCTTGCTGTAGATGTCGTAGGTCAAGCGGGAAAACCTAAAACTATTACTGGTTTTCAAACACACACAACTCCTGTTTTATTAGCTTATGGTGAAAGAGCAGAACTTGCAACTGAAGAATATATTCCTTTAACACCAATTATGGAAGGTTTTGTAATTTTAAGGAAAAATCCGGACTTTATACCTTAATTATAAAATAATTAAGTGAAAAAACATGCTTTATATAAACTAAATATAATGAAACTATTGCGTGTATACAGATTATCTTCTTGATATATAATTCGTGAATTAAACAATAGATCTAAACTAATTAAAACTATTATGGATTTATTTTTTACGAATCGCTGAAACATTTTAATAATAAATAAATCAATAGTTTTACTAATTTTTTGTATTTTCATTTATTATAGTAATAAAATTACATTTTTTTAACAATAATTATATACTTTAATAATTAAAATACTGATCAACATGTAAAATATTCAAAAAGTAGTCATTATATATTCACGAGTTACAAAAATAGTAAAAATTTTTATTTACTATACATATGAATTGGCAAGATGAAATAATAAGTAATCAGTCACATATTAAGTATGAAATATATATATATATGTATATATATACATATATATATATATCTGAAGAAATGATTTTTTGCTATAAAAATTTGTGTCATTAATGAGTAATCATTATAAATTTTTTTCAAAAATACTATTATGTATGAAAATGTATATATGTATTTAACGATTACGCGAATTTATATTATTCAATAAATTCTATTAAAAATCTTAAACTATGTAGCTTACATTACACAGTACACAAAGTCAATTTATGATGTTTTTTTTGTAAAAAATATACAATGAAAACAAATTATGAAATAAGATATTTTATTTAAGTTAAAATACATATATATTTACTATATGTATTAATAATATGTGATATCTAAATTGCACAATTTGTTTTCAATTTTTTTAAAAAAATATATGATTATTTTAAGTAATACGAACACATTTACATTTGTTATATTGTTTTTAACTATAAAAATGTAAAAAAACAGTATCAAACATTACCATTGCGGTAAGAGTCAGTAATCATATTTAATTTCATTATTTATATTCACATATTTATAATTAAGTATTTTTGTTAATTTTTCTTAATGAATTAATAATATTAATTTTTAAAATATTAATTAAAAGTATTAATAAAAAAATAATAAGACCTATAAGTCTATATCACTATATAAAGTGTTTCAAAATCATCGCCTATCTACTTATACTATCCATTCTGAAACACTCATATCTTAAATATAATTTTAATATCTAAAAAAATTCTTTAAAATTTTTATAAATTTTTTGAAAATTAAAATTTGCTTTTTATACTATATTTTATATCAATTCTATCAAATTGAATTTTTTCTGTTGAGAAATGATACGAAAAATTTTTTGATAATTGCTTATTCTAATCAACAAAAATTTGCTTCCATATTACAATGAACGGTAACTGGCGCTAAAACATGATGAGGAGATCCTAAATGGGTTATTGGAGAAGGAAGACAAATAGATTGTCTTCTTAAATCAGGTTCAGTGTTATTACTAACTACTAATAATGGTTCAGCAAATGTTTGTTGCTCAGAATCATCATGAGGTGTCATAGTACTATATCCATGATCACTATCACCTCCAGGTGGTTTCCTATAATTTGAAGAAACCCTATATGGTGATATAGGTTCTATGCTATCTCTTATAAGAGAATCTAAATTGTTTTTTGTTTGTTCTAATTCCATAGGTTCTGCATCACCTTCTAAGTGAGTCATACGTAACATATCAGGTGAAGTATGTATGTGTAAACACTGATGTTCTAAACCAGATTGAACAGACCGAAGTCTATAACAAAATAGCATTAACCCTAATATCAAAAGAAATGCTAATATTCCACCAGCTACAGGTCCAACTGATGGCCATTCACGTATTGTAATTTCTTCTGTTGATTGAGAATCTAAAAAGAATTATATCAAAAAAAAAAAGAACAATAAAAAATATATATTGTATTTCATTACAATCACTTACTATAAGTGCCATCACTAAGTGGCATAAAAGATCCAAGGATGCCTCTAAAACATACAGACATATCGCTACAAAACGGTACTTGCAATGGTGTTTCTCCATCATTATCTATGTGACACCATTGGCAACCTATAATTCCTAAACAGTCACTTTCCATTTTAAATATCTTACAATCAATTGATGGACACGTTTTCAAATTTGTAGATTGTATCCAAGACATTTGTGAATTTCCTCCTTGTTCATATGGTGCTGGGCAAGGTTCGAGATTTATTTCATTTATAGTATATTCTGCGCAATTAGAATAATATAAAGCACATTCACAAGGACATTCACATTCAGTTTGCTCCATTCTTTTACAATTTAAACACGAATGATCCATTGTACTACATGGACAAAAAGCTCTTAATAAATTACAAGTCACATTAACTATTCCTAAAAATATATTAGTTCCTGGTACAGCTGCTACTTGATATTTAACACAATGTTCACCATGAACTATATTTGTAAGAACTTCATCAAGAGACGTATTAAATTGATAATATCTTTGTACAGTACCATCTAAATAATTTATGCAAGCTTTTTTCTTCACAAATAGCTCATGATTTAATATATCATTTGCAACCAACAATTCCTTGTGAGTTAAATGTTGTTGTTCGATTTTACCAGTCGGTTCTAATAATGCTGGATGTGATACTAAATATCCTTTATCATCCATTAAAAAACATTTTACCGTTAAATTATTACAAAATGGAAACATTTCTTTCAAAAGTCTTGAAATAAAACCTAAAGCTACATCCATAGATACGATTGCAATAGCATCATCTTTAATAATTGATTCCGAATTACGATGAATCGTATGACTTAAAGTAACAATATATCCAGAACCACCAGCACCCAAGTAAGGAGACGTAAAAACTAACTTTCCAGGATGCTCTAATGCTTTTCCATACCATATTCTTCTTTTAGGATCAAAACCAGAATCGAGCATAATTCCTGGATATATCTCTAATACTCCACTTACAACTCCAATGATATATCTATAATAAAGTAAAATAAATATCTAATTTTTTAAAATTCTGTTTCTTAAAATAATGATTTTAAAAAAATATAAATATACCTTCTTATGATAAATTTATTTAAAGCACTTTCTATATGTCTAATTTTAAAATAAGCCAACATTTGAGTCAACATAGCTACATCTGGTTTAACAGATTGATGTAGACCAGGATTAGCTAATAAGCCTGTTAAATCTTTTAAATATGCCATATAACTTTGCATTGTTACAGCAGTTCCAGTTTCTAACAATTTAAGTTGTTCTGTTGGGGATTGAAAGCACCATGGAGAAAGATAGACTACTCCCATTGCTAAAACATAAATGCATTTTTTATTCATTTCTTTTTTTAATTTTCAAATTTTTAAAATTTAATAACTTACATAAAGATAAAAGTTTATTATGATAAGTACAAAGAATCTCTTTATCGGTAAAACTATGCATTAAAAGATCGAGACGATGATGTAAAATATTCATTGACAATGTTGGTACTAATTTTCCAATAGATAATGTACTTTCATTAGTTGCTGATATTAAGCATACTATTAAATCCGTATATGTTAAATGTTTCCATCGATACCATTTCTAAAATTTAAAAACTGAATCATATATAAATTTTATATATACTTATAAATATCAATATACCTGTTTGCCTAATTGTGTTTTAACATTTATAACACCTTCGTATTCTTCAATCATTATTTTTACAGTTTCATAACTAATATTTTCTATATGATGTAAATGAACTCTGAGCGGTTGATCTATTATTGTTTCCATTCTTGGAAAATCTTTACTAATCCAAACTATACCTTTATTATCAAATAGCACAGCATATACATGTGCACCAGCATTAAAATATGTTATATCATCAAGAAAATTTCGTAATTTAATATCTAAAGATATTAATGCTTTATTTGTAATATGCCCAATAGACAAAGTCATAGTTTTACTATACAAATCAAAATATGGATCAGACAAATAATAATCTTTCTTATGATCCTCAGAACATTTCAAGTCAGAAAATAATTTTGATACTTCAAAGCCTAGTATATTTTGTGTAGGAAGAGTTACAATATCGTTGTAATTCTTAATATTTGAATGTGATTCTTGATCTACAAAAAAAATATATATTAAAATATAAGTGAAAAATATATTATTATATAATTCAACTTACCTGAAAGAATTAATATTGTTTTTATGTAGCCATTGACTTTTTCTGTAGAAATCATGTTTTTTATTTTTCGTAAATGAGATGTAAGCTTAAGTGTATTAGTTAAATGTATAAAAACTATTTCGCCTTTTACATGTTGTAGTAATTTATTAAAATCAAATTCTATTGTATCATTTGTTTCTAAAATTTGAACAAAATTTAAGTAATGATAAATAAAAAATTATAATATATATAATGTATAAAATAATACCTATTCTATTTAAACTATGAATATAACGCGATAGTTGAAATTTATTAACATCTGTAGCTTTCAATAAACCATCCTTGCAATGAATAGAACTATTATTAGAAAGACCAATAACATTAACATGATCTGTATAAGACAACATATCAATTATTGTTTCTGCAGTTATTTGAGCTAGAGTAATATCTCCTTCAGACATAAACATAGCATGTTCAATCAATAACAATACATTCTTTTTTGGACAATATTGAGATAATAAAAGAGGTCCAATATTATGTCCTGCACTAGGTGGACCACACATAGTAACTGGATACATAAAAGGCAAGAGATGTAAATTTTTCCATTCTTGATTTCTCAAATGAATTGCCAATTCTAAAATAAATTAAATTAGATTGAAATTTATAAATTTTAAATAAGTTTGCTTAGATATATATAATAATAAATTACTTAGATACCTTGTGCAATTTGTGAACAAAAATCAGCCAATCCATTTGATACTAAGTCTAATCCATTTGTAGATTCAGAATATTCAAATAGATTTTCATTTTTTGCTAAGATCGGTTGTATAATGTTATAGCTCTGTTTTAAAACTTTTGCATAAGATAATAGTTTGTTATTTAATTTATCCACAAGTAAATTCAATTTCATATTCAAACTACTTGAGACATTCATAAACTCTATTTCACCAAGCATCTTCTGGAACGGCTTTAAACCAAGTTCTGCATCAGTAATTGACCGAAATTCATTCGACAATCGAATCACGATGTCTCGCAAACAAGTCCCATTAAGTGGTTCTGCATTTACCTGCTTTCGCAGGGTTTTGGCAAATTGACATTTTGCATTTGCGTTTGTACTCTCATCAGCTGAACTATGTACATTTATGGTTACTGCAAATCCTAATAGTAATATCCTCTTGACAAATTGACTCATTATGTCAAGCTGACTCTATCAAATATAAAATTTGGATGCACTGTATATCGTTACATTGATAGCTTGAAATCTAATTAAAATTATCAATTGGTATTAATGGTTATAGCACTCGATCAACAATAATTAATTCAAGCAAATAAATGAATAACCATTCTTTTCATTGTACACCTGTTTGTATGTAACCTGAAAAATTCTTTATACCGCCATAACAACGAGGCTACCGCAAACAAGGTTGACAAGTACGCAACTGGAAATATTACTTTCTTAGTCCTATCACTTTCTAAATGAAATCTAATCGATGTATTTTTAATATTATGAATATATATGTATTGCGGTTTTAAAAGCCACTAATTAATTCTTTCGGTATCATTTTTCGATTTTTTTATTTTAAATTTCGTAAAAGTAAATATATACAGTTTTCAGAAAAATATATTGTTATATAAATTTAAACTAAAAAAAAATATATAATACAATTTTCGATAAATAAATCAAATATAAAATTGTTAAATTTAAATGTATTTAAATAATAATTTACATATTTATTAATAATTAATGACCAAATAATAACATAAAAATTTTATTTAAGAAAATTTAATTATAGTTTTATAGAGAGAGTGATGCTATATTAAATTTTAAGAAATTAAAAAATATTTTTAAATATATTTATATATATTATTTAAAATTTCAATAATTTGAATATTAAATATAATATTATAATATAATAAAATTGTATTTTTTTATAGGACTTTCATTGATAAACCAGTAGTATTGAAAAATTAAATGTTCCTGCTTTTACACTGATCTATACTGCTTGACGTAAACGAGAATCATAAACGGATTTCAGTTAATATGTTTTACAAGTTTCTATATACGTGGAGGCATTTTATTTCAATATTATTATATTATGTCATAAAAATATAAAAGAGAAAAAATCGAAAATAAGACATAACATTGTTTATCTAATGTAATGGACAAATTAGAGAAAACTATGAATTACGAATTTTTTTATTATGATAGTGTTATAAGGTAAAAATAAATTTTATTATATATTGTTTGTATATTTTACTATGATTTTATAATTATGATTTATTATGATAGTTATGAATAAAATTATTTTTATAATAGAAAATTTTTTTTTCATATTATGCGCTTATAAAGAATAGATTTTTACATAAAAAATATATATATAAATATTTTACTTATAATATAAATACTTATAATAAATACTTGCTTATAATAAAAATTAAATAATTCAATTAAGCTTTATTTGCAATAATATATTAAAATTAAAATTATTCTGATTATTA